AGTCACATGGGCCCCCCTGCGCTTTATATATAGTTATGATAGCAACAGCAATAGTAAATAGCCAGTAATGCCGGTATTTTGCGCGCGAGTGGCCTGCGTCAGAGGCGTGGCTATCTGTACGCGCAAATCTTACGGCATCTTGTTGTCACCGCAAGCACACCATATTAAGCTGAAAATCTATTCCTCTATACTACCCCTTATCGAACTCGTTTGTGCAGGAACTCCTTTCCTGGAAACATCCTCATCTGGTGAATATGCCATGGCTCGACTTGACGATTTGATGAACATGATCCAACGTACCTCACTGTGGCCGCTGACGTTTGGTTTGGCTTGCTGCGCCTTTGAAATGATGCAGTTTGCTGCTCCACGTTACGATATGGATCGTTACGGTGTCGTCTTCCGTGCTTCTCCAAGACAGGTTAGTCAATCGTATAGCTCTCCCTTCATTAAGTACGTTTATGCAAATCTGTTTTTTCCCTACTATGTTTAATGATCTAGTGTGCTTGCGGTGCCAAGACTGCGGTAAAATGTGCGTGCAAAAATGCCGCGCCAGTAATGCTGCCATATTGCGCGCGCAAGTGGCTGGCATTACGGGAGGGGCTACTTATCACGCGCAAATGTTGCAGGATCTTGACACTGCAGACACGTATTAAGTGAAAAATTTATCAGACTTTACCAGGAGATTATTCACTGGAAAGCTTTGATTGCTAGTCTTCTGATTCATTTAATTTTTATTATCAGACTGATTTGATCATTGTCGCTGGAACTGTGACAAACAAAATGGCGCCAGCCCTTCGAAGAATCTACGACCAGATGCCAGAGGCAAAGTGAGTGATTTAATTTTGCTTTGCAAGGCAGTACGCACTTTAAACTTTGAAAGTTCAATTCTTAGTCTGCTTTCTGTTCCATCATTATTTACATTACCACTCTTCTGTTTCAGCAGTCGAGTGAGTGTATGCAGTCGTGCTCGTTAATTCATCCGAATATGATGAATTAGGACCGTGCTTGACCTGACGATTGACTAGGACCGTGTTCTAAATTGAGCATTAACCCTGCAAACCTAGTGTAAGGGTTCAGCAA